TTATTTGATATTTTTCTTGTGTCTTGATGTTAGGCCTGTCTTCCTGTCAATTTCCCTCTTAAAGCTGTGTTGGCTGTATCCTGTACATTTTGGGTCATTGTGTTTCGTTTTTATTTATCTCAAGGTATCTTTGATTTCTTCCTTGATTTTGTTGTTAACCCATTCATTGTTTAATGGCATGTTATTTAACCCTATATATTTGTGTTCTTTTCAGTTTTGTAATTGATTTCTTTTTGTAATTGATTTATAGTTTCATACCATTGTGGTCAGAGGAGATTCTTTTTTAAAAATTTTTTATTTATTTATTTACTTTTTAGAGAGAGGGGAAAGGAGGGAGAAAGAGAGAGAGAGAAACATCAATGTGCAAGAGACACATTCATCAGTTACCTCTTGCACGCCTGCACTTGGGCCCACAACCCAGGCATGTGCCCCACCTGGGAATCGAGCTGGCAACACTTTGATTTGCAGGCTGGTGCTCAATCCACTGAGCCACACCAGCCAGGGCTGTAGTTTTTAAATAAAGACTTTGTCTATGTTTTGTAAGATTTATTTAGGTACCTAATATTTTTTGATGCAATGGAATGTTGTATCATTAAAATATTAATTTTTACTTTTTAAAAAGTCCTCACCTGAGGATGTTCTGATTTCAGAGAGAGAGGAAAGGGGGGGGGGGAGAGAGAGAGAGAGAGAGAAACGTATTGATATGAGAGAAAAACATTGATAAGTTACCCTCATATGCACCCTGACTGTGGACCAAACCCGCAACCTAGGTATGTGCCCTGACTGGGCATCAAACCCACAATTTTTTGGTGTATGGGATAATGTTCCAACCAACTGAGTCACCTGGCTAGGGCCAAAATGTTAATGTACTAACTATTTATTACTGGTATAAAAAATAAAAATATTTGTGGATTTGAACTTGTCTCAAGTAACTGATTAATTTTGAGCATGTCAGTACTGATAGCAACACTGTTTTTCATGTATTTCCAATACTTAATCCTTTTATTTCTTTTTCTTGCTCTTTTGCACTGGTTAGGAGCTCTAGTACAGTAAAAATTGGTGATAGTGGGTAGCCTTAGTTCAGTACTGGTTTCAGAGGGCAATCTTTCAGCATTTTACCATAAAGTATGATGTTTGCTATAGGTTTCTATGATCACCCTTCAGTAGATTACACATATTTCTTTAAGGATATGTTACAGAGCTATTTTCCTTTAAAGAAATGGTTGTTGAATTTTATCAAATTTTTTTCTGCACCCATTGAGATGATTATTTGGTTTTTCTTCTTTATTTTGTTGATGTGGTGAATTATATTGATTGATTTTTAAGTATTAAACTGACCTTGCATTCCTGGAATAAGTTCACTTGGTACCCTTCTTATGTATCATTTAATTCAATTTGCTAATGTTTAAGATTTTTACATCATGTTTTGTGAGAAAGAGTGTTGTAACTTTTCTTTATTGTAATGTGTCTTTCAGTTTTGGTATCAAGATTTTGTTAGTCCATAAAATTACAGGTAGGAACAACAATTGATTAACAGTTATGGAAAATAATACAATAATTCAGAAATAATTACACAAGAGTAAACTCTGTTTCACATACTCACAACTGTAAGCCTACTTTTGCCCCACCCAGTATTTGGTAAGTGGTCTATATTTTTCTTAAGGCCTACATTCTCCCAGCTTTAAGTCCAGCAGAGATAAATCCTCTTTTCCATCATTTACCACAAATATTTTTGAATTGAGACTCATTTTGTTTCACTGGCCTGATTTTAGCCATGTGACCATCCCTGAGCCAGTAACAATAGCCATGTTTGATTGGTTGGGGATGAAGTCAGTACTACCTCAACTATATGGACCGAGACTAAGGGACTTTCCTGACAAAAATCACAGTCCTATTACTTTAGAAATGAGAAATGGATGCTAGTAATTAGAGAGTACAGATGGCTATTAAATAATTTAGGGTTTTTTTTCCCTGACATAAAGAAGTAAAAATTTCTACATAGCCAAATTTATAAATTAATTGTATGTTTCTCTCATTAAATCTCCCTACAGATCCTTAATAAGATAATTTTACCTATTTTTTTCTTATATTGCTCTATTTAATTAATTTTGAGTCAATTTCAGCTTAAGATATGAGGTGAGGATCTAACTTAGCTTCTTCTCCGAGATACTAGATGATCTCTTAATTTGTCTTCAATTTATTCAACTTATTCCTAGAGTAAAACATAGTATCTGATACTTAACATGGTACTTACTCTGTACCAAGACTTGTGCTAAGCATTCTAACAAATAATGCATTAATGTCTATAAGGATTCTCTGAGATAATACTACCATTATATATATTATATGTCACAAAGGAATTTTACTTGCTCAAGATTAAATGGCTAATACATAGCTTGGATCTGAACCCAGGTAGTAGGCTTCTAGTAGCTGTTCTCAATCTCTGTGCTGTATTGCCTCCAAAATAACTGATGTCCATGGCATGCTTTGCGCTACTAGCTTTGCAGTTAGCAGGCTTCTGTTGTACCCATGTGTAGTTTTGTTTCCACATGTTGGCTTGTACAAAGAGTCAGTTGTTTGTTTCCAAGTCTCTCTTTGATAATTGAACTTGTTATTGTCATTACACATTTTAACTAAATAAACCAATGTGTGAAAACAAAGCTGTTTCTATGGAAACTAAGTTGATTCTCTGCAATAGATTCTATAAAGCCATATAAAAAATTTTTTTTTTGGTGAATTAGGTGTGGGTGAGAACTGTGAAGACTGGCAAACAGACAAGCAAAAAGTGAAAGTTCTAGAATTCTGCTCATGGATAGTTTCTCAAGCATCTACAAGTTTCCTGTACTACTGAAACAAATCCTGAAAATTATAGAGAATACACTATAAATGTTGTTTCAATAAGAGACACTACAACTATCATCAGAGTCATTCTAAAGAAAAGGGTATTTATAGATTAGTGAATAAATATTTGTTTATAAGTTTTAATTTCAAATAAAACCTATATATGTAAATATTTAAGACATATATCACTTTTAAATTTTTCTTCTGCTTTAACCCCTCCCACCTTCCAAATAACCAACCAAATACTAGACCCCATTCTCTTTGTAAGGAAGGCTGGTATTGTGATCCATCAGTAGTTGTGGTATCATTTATTGAATCAACCTTCTTTTCTTTACTGATTATAAAGTCTACTTTTAAATCCTTATATATACTGCATCATCTTTGCAGGTGATCTATCCAGTTCCATTGTTCTATTTGTTAGTTCTTGACTTAGTGTTTTAATATCTGATACTTTTATTTTCAACATTTCTTGGCTTTGAACCTAATTAATTTCTCCCTGCATATAATATGTCTGAAGCCTATCATAAATATATTCTTATTGGGGATATTTTTACTAATTTTGAAAGGTCCTGGAAAAAGAATGCTAAGCTTATAATTACAACTTAAAAATGAGGCAGAATTAGATCCTTTGCCTATTTTTTAATTGGATTGTTTGTCTTCCTGATGTGGAGTCATGTGAATTCTTTATATATTTTGGAGATCAAACCCTTGTCTGAGGCATTATTGCAAATATGTTTTCCCATACAGTTGGTTCCCTTCCCATTTGGTTGATGTTTTTTTTTTTACTTGTTCAGAAGCTTTTCAGTTTGATGTAGTCCCATTTATTTATTCTTTCCTTTATGTCCCTTGCCCTAGAGGATGTATTGGTGAAAATATTGCTGCATGGGATATCTGAAATCTTCCTACCTATGTTTTCCTCTATGACTTTTATGGTGTTAGGATTTATATTATAGGACTTTTGTCCATCTTGAATTTATTTTTGTGTATGGTGTAAGTTGGTGGTCTAGTTTCATTTTTTTACATGTACTTGTCCAGATGTAAAGGACCTGAATGGACACTTCTCCAAAGAGGACATACAGAGGGCTCATAGACACATGAAAAAATGCTCAACATCACTAGCCATTAGAGAGATAAAAATTAAAACCACAATGAGATACCAACTTCACACTGGTTAGACTGGCTGTCATTAATAAATCAACAAACAACAAATGCTGGCGAGATTGTGGAGAAAAGGGAACTCTAGTACACTCTTGGTGGGAATGCAGACTGGTGCAGCCACTGTGGAAAACAGTCTGGAATTTCCTCAAAAAACTAAAGATGGAACTGCCTTTTGATCCAACAGTCACACTGCTTGGACTATACCGTAAGAATTCTAAGTCACCAATTCAAAAGAACTTATGCACCTCAATGTTCATAACAGCATTATTTATAATAGCCAAGTGCTGGAAACAGCTTAAGTGCCCATCAGTAAATGAGTGGATCAAAAAACTGTGGTACATTTATTCAGTACAAAGAAGGAAGGAACTCCTACCCTTCTTGACAGCATGGATGGAACTGGAGAGCATTATGCTAAGTGAAATAAGCCATGTGGTGAAAGACAAATACCTTGTAATCTCACCTATAAGTGGAACGTAATCAACAAAACAAACAAATGAGCAAAATGGAATCAGAGACTTGGAAATAGAGAATAAATTGACAGTGACCAGAAGAGAAGGGAGAGGAAGATAATGGAGGGAAAAAGGAGAATGGTCAGGAAAAGGAACATGAATGGAGGACTCATGGGCATGGACAATGGGGGGGATTGACTGTGGGACTGTAGAGGGCAGGGTAAGGAAGAGTGATGAGGATAAAAGTGGGACAACTGTAACTGAACAAGAGTAAATTTTTAAAAACATCAAAAAAAAATGAGGCAAGATTAAGAAACTCAGATACAGGCTGGTGTCAGAAACATTAAGACATAGGAGACATAATAGTGGTATACTGAGTTTTCTGTTCTTTCTGACAAGATCACATGAGTAACTAACGATACATGTGAAAAAACATTATAGATTAGAGCTCATAGTAAGAAACTGTCTAGGAAGGGATAGTTCATAGAGATCAGGACAAGAGCTGCATTTGCAGAGGCAAGGAGACAATTTTCCCCCTTCCTCAGGTACAGCTCATCTTTTTAAGAGGAGCTTGCTCATTTTGTCACTAATCACCTGTTTCACCTGTTTGTTCCTCAGGGTGTAAATGAAGGGGTTAAGCATTGGGGTCACCACTGTGTTGAGCAAGGCCACCGTCTTGTTCCTGTCCTCCCCCTGGCCACCCTTACCTGACCGGATATACATGAAGATGCAGCTGCCATAGAAGAGAGACACAACAATGATGTGAGACGAACAGGTTGAGAAGGCTTTCTGCCTCTCCTTGGCTGAAGGGATGCGCAGGATGGTGTAGAGGATGTGGCCATAGCAGGTGGCTGTCACAGACAGAGTGCCCAGTAAGCTAAAGTTGGCTGCAATAAAACCCAGAAGCTCTATCAGACTTGTGTCTGCACATATGAGTTCCAGGAGTGGAAAGCTGTCACAAAAGAAATGATTAATGATATTGGGACCACAGAATGGCTGCTGAAGTATGATGAAAGTCGGAAAGATGATGAGAAGGAATCCTGTCATCCATGAAGAAAGAACTAGTTGGACACAGACCCTTTTGCTCATGATGGTGGCATAACGCAAGGGATTACATATGGCCACATACCTGTCAAAGGACATCACTGCCAGTAGGAAGAACTCTGTGGTGCCCAGGAAGAAATAGAGAAAAAACTGAAGAAAGCAACCTGGGAGGGAGATGGTCTTGTATCCAGTCAGGATGTTGGTCAGCATCTTAGGGAAGATGACTGAGGTGAACCAGACTTCCAAGAGAGCAAAGTTGCGAAGGAAGTAATACATGGGGGTGTGGAGGCGCCTGTCCATGAGGGTGATAACCATGATGAGGAGATTCCCCAGCAGAGTGAGAAGGTAGGTCAGGAGGAGCCCTAGGAAGATGAGCATCTGCAGCTCACAGGCATCTGAGAGCCCCAGCAGGACAAACTCAGTGACAGTGGTGTGGTTCCCCATGGTCTTCTGACCTCTCTGGGATGGCCAATCAGAAGTGTGCAGTATCACAAGTCATGATGTTCTGGGGATATGAGGACTTTCGGAATGGAAAGGAAAAAGGGCTTAATGTCTTAATGTTGCATTTTTGAGCTGAAGAAATCTTTCATTTCTTTGACCTACAAGTCCCTTTCTCCCTCTGCAGGCTGGTTGTCCAAATTCCTCACTGAGTCTTTAAGTCACATACTTGAACCCAATTTAAGTCAATTTTTTTGGATTCTTTGGGAAAAGTTTTGCCTTTACCAATTCTTTTCCCATTTCTCTTGTTTCTGTATTAAATATTTCATTATTTAATTTTAATCCAGTTGACATGTTATCCCATATTCATCCAAATGTTGTAAGAGGTCTTTCAAGTTCACGATTTATTTCCCTCTACAGTGGATCACAGACTTTTATTGAGAGCATTAATGAAATATTTACTTTAGAGTTTGTTACAGAAGACATTCAAGTTTGAGAGACTGTGGCTGCATCTGAGCTTCATCATTTACTAACTTATCTGAGGCCCATCATCTAACCTTACCAAGACTCTGTTTCCTTGATAGGAATATAACAGTACCTATGTAAAAAGTTGTCATTGAACTTAAATGAATAGGGATACCCAACACTTAGCACAAGGATGGCCACAGCTCAAGTAGTCATGTAATGTTAGTTTAACCTCTTTCTCCCATAAGATAGGTCAAAACTCTAGTTACATAATAAGAATAAGTAAGAGTAAAATAGGAGAACGGATAGTAAAATTTTAGACAGTAGGTATTTGAATAAACAGTTTTTAAAATATAAATATTATTGATTTGTTATGGAAAGTTGAGGAAATATAGAAAAATGGAGTAAAAAGAATCACCTGTAACCCTACAGAGAAAACATTTATTAAGATTTTGATTTATTTCTATTGTATTTTTTATAATTCTTAGTGTTTATTGGTTTATATACTCATGTTTATAGATTATGTATTTTACAACTCTTTCCTTACTACATATTACTATGATAAATTTTTGTCATGTTAATACAAACTTTTTGTTAATATATTATTTGTCTATATTTTGTTAATATAATATATTTGTCTATATTTTTTGAGGGATACATGTGCTATTAAAGTGATATGTAGAGAAGGGAGAACATGCATTTGTAGATTAGGTATCATTCTTAATATTTTGGTATAATTTCCTCAGTAATAATAATAGAGAAGAAGAATGAAAAATGCTGATATTCAGAGTTTTCATTAGTTCAACTTAATTTTAGAGAATACATCTTTATATTAAATGGTTGTTATTTCTAGGTTTTACTTTTCTTAGTGTTGCCCTTAGAGATCTGGATAAGAACCAGGCAATTTTGTCATTGGCTGTTCTTACAGAAATGACAGATTAAGGCAAGCTTCTGTAGGGAAGAAGAACTGACTCTATCTGGAAAAGGAACAGAAACCAATGTGATATGTTTGTATCAGGGAAATGGTAGCATACTACATCATAGCTATATAAAATGTATATTTATAATGAGAAGGACCAGATGAGAACACAGAAAAATGAAAATTGCCATATAAGAATGAGAGAATTGTGGATGATTTTCCCTTGTCTTTATTTTGTTATTGTTTATACAATAACTTAAATTCAAAATTATAAAAGACACCAACACAGTGAGCCCATTTGGATTAAGAGTTTGGTAGAACAGTTTAGTAGAGACAAAAAGGAAACAAATAGTTGTCCATGAAAATGGTGAGAAAAAGTGTTGGAGGTTTTGTGACTTATCTGCTGGACATGAGTCAGGATAGTGAGAATGATAAAAAGACATTAAAGACGTCAGCTGTGCCTTAGCCTGCCAGTGGACACCTGGAAACAGACAACAGGCTTCTAGGCAAAGTGTCCAGAAGAATCAGATTTCCCTTCCCCCATTTCAAAAATTGCACCAATACAGGTTCTTTTACTAGTTACTAAATGAGATGCTCAGTTACCTTCAAGGCAATTCTGATGGTGGAGACTCTTGGTTTTCCCAGGAAATTCCTAGCTCTATAGTGTTACCTGAGACTCCACTTATTTGGGGGACTCACCAGAGATTTGAAGTGAAGGAAGCTTCAGAACTGTAACACGGTCTGCAGGTCACAGACATAGGCAGGTCCTGTCCTCTTTGTTTCACACGTGCCACTAAACCTCCATGTCTCCAACTACCAGTCTGTCTGAGAAATGCTCCCTGACTCTGTTGTTACTGACATATCTCCAAATCACCTCAGAAATGACCTCTGGGTAGTCCTTAGAGCTGGATTTGTTTAGCTTCTATTGCTCCTCCCCTATCACAGTTTTGCTGCTGGATCACCTTCCTGAGGGAACGGATGTAGCAACCTAATTAATTATTCTTCCATCCCTTCTGTACTAAGGCAGAGATAGACATCAATTGATGCAGATCAGTATGACTCTTCAGTTGGGAGTAAGAGGCTTCTAGCTAATGGTACAAACTTTTAGGGGCATGATGCCCATAGAGAATTCTGAGGTAAACTATTCATGGCAGACTCCTGGTCTCTGTGGAGATGGCATCCTTCCTGGACTGCTTGAGATTCTTTTTGGTTTCCATGGAAACTCAGAGATACAAAAGGTACACATCTCAAACTTAACCAGTCTAGAGATTCTCACTCTTCTTTCGCTGGATGGAAGTGGGCTTCCCCTGAGATTCATTACCGTCAGTGGTGATAGGGACCTAGGAAGGTCCCTTACCTCTTACTTTCTTCAACTTTAAAATTGAAAATTTACTTTGTTCTGACTGAGAAGCTCAGAAACTCCTAATGAAGTTTAATTGTAGCAAAGAATCACAGCTATTAGAACATTCAACAAGTTTTTGTTGAGTACTGATTGTGTGACGAATGCTGCTCTGGATGCTGGAGATAATAGTCTTGTGGGGGAAGAAAAACATTAAACAATTGCACAGATATTAATTACTATTGTGACTAGTGGTTTTTTTTTTACATTTTAAAATACTTTTATTTTAGCTGAGACAATTTAGAAAAGCAGGAAAATTTTTTAAACAGAAAGTCATACTAAGTAACACCACTCCTGAAACAGTCTTTTCACTCATCTTTCTGAGAGGATCATTCCCAGGAGATTTTTCTTTTCTTTTTCTTTCTTTTTTAAATATCTACTTTATTGATTATGCTATTACAGTTGTCTCATTTTTTTCTCCCTTTTATTCCCCCCACCCCCAGCACCGCATTCCCCTCTGCCCTTAGTTCATGTCCATGGGTTGTACATATTAGTTCTTTGACTTCTCCATTTCCTATATTATTCTTAACCTCCCCCTGCCTATTTTGTACCTACTATTTATGCTGCTTATTCCCTGTATCTTTTCTCCCATTCTTCCCCCTCCCTCACTCTGTTTTACTCTTCATAGTTTTTTATCTTCTTTTTCTTAGATAAGTCCCTTTAATGTTTCTTATAAGGGCTTAGTGATGATGAACCCCTTTAATTTTACCTTATCTGGAAAACACTTTATCTGCCTTTCTATTCTAAATGAGAGCTTTTCTGGATAGAGTAATCTTGGATATAAGTCCTTGCCTTTCATGATTTTGAAAACTTCTTGCCAGCCCCTTTTTGCCTGCAATGTTTCTTTTGAGAAATCAGCTGACAGTCTTATGGGAACTCCTTTGTAGGTAACTGTCTCCTTTTCTCTTACTGCTTTTAAGTTTCTCTCCTTATCTTTAATCTTGGGTAACTTAATTATGATGTACCTTGATGTGTGCTTCCTTGGGTCCAACTTCTTTGGGACTCTCTGAGCTTCCTGATTTCCTGGAAGTCTATTTCCTTGGCCAGACTGGGGACGTTCTCCTTCATTATTTTTTCAAATAAGTTTCAATTTCTTGCTCTTCCTCTTCTCCTTCTGGCATGCCTATGATTTGGACGTCGGATCATTTAAAGTTGTCCCAGAGGTTGCTAAGCCTCTCCTCATTTTTTTTGAATTCTTGTTTCTTCATTTTGTCCTGGCTGAATGTTTATCTTTTCCTTCTGCTCCAAATCGTTGATTTGAGTCCCAGTTTCCTTCCCTTTACTGCTGTTTCCCTGTATATTTTTCTTTATTTCACTTTGCACAGCCTTTACTTTTTCCTCTATTTTGCAACCATACTCAACCAATTCAGTGAGCATCCAGATTACTAGTGTTCTGAACCACGGATCTGATTGGTTGGCTATCTGTTCATCACTTAGTTCTATTTTTGGAGCTTTGATCTATTCTTTCATTTGGGCCATATTTCTTTGTCTCAGCACCCCTGTTATGTTGGGAGGGGTGGAGCCTTAGGTATTCTCCGGGGGGGGGGACAACCCAGGTCACTGAGTTGTGATGCTGTGTTTGTGGGAGGGGTCTGAGAGGAAACAATGCGGCTTGCTCACCGCTCCTCTGGCTTTCAGTCACTTTCTCAGCTACCCACAAGCAAACTGGGCCCTTCTGGTGCTGATTCCCGGGCAGGTGGGTTTGTGTATGTTCTAGGACCCTGTAGGTCTCTCCAATGGACTCTCCTGTGAGGCTAGGAGTTTCTCCTGCTGCTGCAACCCCCACAGTTTTTTACAGCCAGAGGTTTTGAGGCTTGCTTTGTCACACTGGAACCCTGGATTGCGCCATCAATTTCACTCTCCAGCTGTTCCTCATGGTTTATCCTCATGCAAATGTGGGACTGCCAGGTCTGTCAGCCTCCACCTCACCCACCTGGTCCTCTAGTCACTGCCTTGCTATGTGTCCTCTCCGCCCATCCTACCAGTCTGGATGAATGTTTCTTCTTTAGTGCCTTGGTTGTCGGACTTCCATATAGTTTGATTTTCTGACAGTTGTGGTTATTTTTTGTTTTTAAATTTGTTGTTGTCCTACTTTTGGTTGTGCGAGGACGCAAAGTGTACTTACCTATGCCTCCATCTTGGCCCAAAGTCCCATGACTGGTGTTCCAAAGGAGAGCTCATAACGAGATCCTGAACCAGACTGAAGAGTAGGAAAAAATGTTC